GGAGGGGCTGCGAGAAATGCATCCTACCCACCAAGCCGCTGAAGCGCTAGCCCTGCAGCACCACACCCCGAGGCCACCAGATGGCGCCAGCAGGACCCATTCCCCTCCCAAACTGCCAGCCCCATCCACCTTTCCCTGGGGCGGGGGAGGGGCAGAGCGGGGGCCTTGCCAATCCTGGGGAGGTTGGACTCCGAGCCCATGTGCCCTTGGGAACCCACCCACGGCCCTTCTGGCCTCTCCCCCAGGAATGGCAGAGCCCAGCAGAAGGTGCCCTCCCCTCTCCTCCACGGGGTGCCTGGCGCACGGGGCCTGCCACGTGCTGGAGGCGGGTGCTGAGGCCAGGGAGCCGCCTGGCTGCTTCCTCTTCTCTGGCTGCGGGCGCTTCCAGGCCCCAAGGAGGCTGGTGGGCAGCGCAACTAGGAGGCTCCCCCAGGCTGGGATGCCAGACCCCCACCCTACCCCGCCAGGCATCCTTGGCAGTGGGGGAAGCTGCTTTGGGCGATGCGAGTCACCGCTGCCCCTCCTTCCTCCTTCTAACCACCCAGTCCAATGCACCGCCCTCTCCCTCTCTCTGGCCATCGCACCTCTGGGGAGAAGGCTGGGGAGCGCAGCTCAGCCGGAACACACCAGGCACTCCGTGCCATGTACGGAGGGCATCTCTGCAGGCGTCACTCAGCCTCCCTGCCCTGATGGGTGGTGCAGAGGGCTTGACACATCTGGACAGCTTTGTTTAAAGCATATGCCAAGGGGCAAGTCCCCTCCATCTGCTCAGCCCTCCCGGCCCCCAGGAATGTCCCCATATTTTATCTGCGCTCCGGACGGGGGTCACAGAGAAGTGGCCAGTCCCCCCTGCTCAGCCCTGGCTCCAGGGGGCTCAGCTAAGCCCCAACGTTGTGAGCTCTCAAGTCCCCCCCCCCAATCAACTTGTGGGCCTTGTGTCTCCTGAGCCTTTGGGGGGGGGCAGGAAGGGCCCCAAGCAGAGAGGCTGCACCGCCTTTCCCAGGTCAAGCCAGCTTACGTAACAGCACCCCCTGTTCCCAGCATCTCAAGACCCAGGCTCCCCTGCAGCCCCGGAGGTGGTGGGCGGAGTGAGATTACACAGGGGAGGGAGGGAGGGACCGGAGGAAAAGGCCTGAAAGGGGGGCTCCAGTGTCTGCTCCTGGAGTGGCCAAAGGACGGAGCAGCCACTGCCTGGCTCACATGCTGGGAGGCCTCTCACATCCAATGAAAGGCAGTGGAGGGGACTGAAGAGATCCCCCTACACACACACACACACACACACACAAGCACCAGACTTGTTGGGGACCCCCAGAGGAGGGATCACACCCACCCCGGATTACTCCAGAGACTTCTGAACTCCTGTGTGGAGCGCACACTCGCTCACGCCCACCTCCAGTCCACCTTGTGCAAGGCAGAGCCGAGGCAAGGGTTGCTACGTGACACACACATACACACGCAGCTTTCTCTTTCCCTTTTTCCAAGGATCAAAACCACATGAAGTATTAGTACCACTTTATAAAAGCCTCGGTAAGGCCACACTTGGAATCCTGCATCCAGTTTTGGTCGCCTCCTTACAAAAAAGATGCGGAGACTTCGTTAAAAGTGCAAAGAGCAACTGAGATGGTTAAAAGCCTGGAGATGCGAAAAACGGCTGCAGGATTTGGGTCTGGCCAGTCTAGAGGAAAAAAAAGCCAGGGAGAACACGAGAGCAGTCTTCCATTCTTTGAGGGGCTGCTGCCCCAAAGAAGCGGGGGGGGGGTCAAATTCTTTTCCAAAGCACGAAGGCAGGAGAAAAAGTCACGGGGGGAACCTGAGCAAGGAGAGAAGCAACCTGGATTTCAGGAGAAACTTCCTGACCGGCGGTCTCCTCTTCACGCGCTTCCCCGGGATGCAGCAACCAGGCGGCCACAAGCCCCCCCCCCCCCCC